GTAGCATGCTTTATTGATAGTTTTATAAAAATAATATCTTCTTACACCTCTGTGAGAATAGTACTAATTAAATTCATTTCTAAATTTTCTTTTCCTATCTTGAATTATTTGATTATTCTAGAGTTAGTTTTCTATCTCTATCATAGTCCCATTCCTTCATTTTTCAGGATGTTCTAAAATGTCTAACAATCCTTTAAGGAGGCAGAAATGAGAACTGAGCGAGAGCTCCTTGAACATGGGCGGATGGTGGCAAGTGACTGGCTCTGATTAGGCTAATTGGGTATGGATTCATTACACCAGGTTTACACAGAAACCCTGTGGTTTCTGCCAGTAGTCACACTAACTGCTGTAGCTCTCCAATTTCATTCAAAAGGAAACCTGTGTGTTTGTGGGTGGGGGAGGAATTGTTAAGTACTGAGAAGTAAACACCTTTGTTATGGCCATTTTGTACATGGTGAATAATGGGATGGACTGGGGTGGCTAACTTTTCTGTAGACAAATCATCAAGGAATTCCTTCCCTTTTAACCCGTCTTTTTCTCTCCCTCTCCCTCTCAGAACCCTCTAAAAGATCCCAAGTCTCTCTCGGATTCTGCTGAAGAGAGTAATTTCTTCTTCTCGCTTTGGTCTTCTCTGGGTATTTTCTAACCTATAACTTCCTCTGTTTTTCTTCATGATTATGATGTTCATAATCAACATCTAAGTTATGTTTTCAAGAAATTTATTGAAAATTCTCATCCACAGTGACTACCCTTTGTTTTTCATCAATGTTGTGGGTTTGTACATTTCATTACTCTTTTGTTATCATTCTGGTAGGATTTCAGCAAGGAAAATAAATATGTTTACACAGTCCACTATCTTAAATAAGAAATTCTTTAATTATTTTTGAACCCATTCAGGCTGGTGGAGTTTAGAGAAAAACTGTGCCACTTGAATGTCTAGTCCCTACAAAGAGGAGCTATAATTATAGGTTTCCCAGATGATCTTTTTCATTGAAATCTCCTTTTTTAAAACTACCTTTGCCAGATCAAAGATTTCTTTTAAAAATGGTTTCGGGGCACCTGGGTGACTCAGTTGGTTAAGCGTCCAACTCTTGATTTCAGCTCAAGTCATGATCTCAGGGTCATGAGATTGAATCCCCCATGCTCAGCATGGAGCCTGCTTGAGATTCTCTCTGCCTCTCACTCGGCCCCTCCCCATAGTCTGTGTGCATGCACTCTTTCTCTCTCAAAAAATAATAACAATAAAATAAAATAAAAATAAAAATGGTTTCTTCATATGTAGGTTTTCCTGAGTTAACACAGTTTTGTAAACATAGCAACAGCCCAGGCATCGGTCATGGTGACCAGAAACCAGTGGAGCTGGCACAATATTTCACTTACTTCTGTCTTCTCAGGATTCTAAATACACAAATTGGAGTATGTCCTTTTATCTCATATCTTTCTGATTTTTTTCTTTCATAGATGAATCATAATCTCAGTTCTAGAAAACAAAAATCTGAGTGAACAAAAGGACAAAGGGCCTGAGATTATAAACCAGTAAGGCTGTGCATGTTTTTTGGTTTTTTTTTAAGATTTTATTTATTTATTTGACAGAGAGAGAGACAGTGAGAGCAGGAACACAAGCAGGTGGAGTGGGAGAGGGAGAAGCAGGCTTCCTGCCAAGCAGGGAGCCCGATGTGGGGCTTGATCCCAGGACTCCAGGATCATGACCTGAACCAAAGGCAGACGCTTAATGACTGAGCCACTCAGGCACCCAAGGCTGTGCATGTTTTTAAAGTACATAGATGCACCTGATTTTATGACTTTCTTCCCCCTTTTCTCTCATTTGCCAACCAACCCTCTTTAGCCTCATCTGGTTCAGAGTAGAAAGGATTTTCTTGATCTTGAAATGGAAATAGGGTGTCTAGGTCTGACACATAGTAGGAACTCCAAAAATATTGTTGAATAAGTGAATAAATAACGTCTAAAAATGTGTAGCCAATCTACACTTTTTCATGGGTGGGTCTCTTTCAAAATTTGAAGGACTCCTGCATTAAATTATATTGCCACCTTGGTCAAAATAAGTCGTCCATATATATGTGCATCCACTTCTGATATCTATTCTTTTGCAATTGTTTATATGTCTATCCGTAGGCCAACGCCACGCTCTTTTGATTATTGTAATTTATAACTGGTCTTCAAACAAGGTGCTATATGCCCTGCAACTCGGTTCTTCTTTTTAAAACATATTTGGACTTAGAAATTAGTCTTAGTCAAACTAGCATGCTTAATGCTAATGTCCTGACCCATAACAAACTATGATAAAAGAGGTGATTTTTTTTTTTTTTTTGCTTTTGTTTTTGTTTTGGTTTTGGTAGAGTGGAAGAAAAGACACAGCTCTTTTTGACATAATGATCGATAATGAAATAAAAGGCTTAAAGGTCTGAGCAGGGATGCATATCTTTTCACTGATTTCATAGACATTTTACCCAAATGCTAATGAATGGTTTTAATGACTAGCTTTCTATACCCCTCCACAACCCTACCTCTTGGATCCAAAGAGACCTTTTCAATTCTCACTTCAAGCACAAATTAAGGGGAAATCAGATGGAATAAAATGAGTGACAGCCCCAGGCAAAGGAAAAAAAGGGGGGGAGGAAGCAGATGCCTGGGTGGAGGACAAAGGCCCTAAGAGACTCAGGGGCCTGTGAAGTCAGAGGAAAGCAAAATAAAGACCATAACCACGGCTCCTTTTGCAAATCGAGGGTGAACTCTCTCTGGGCTCCATAAGCTATGTTACAACTTCGTCAGGACTCGGTGCCCAGACTGGACTCAGAGCTGCTTTGGCTAATTGTATCAGTTTCTCAATAATGGATTGGACCAGTTTTCTCTTCCAAACCTTCATAACAGAGTAAAAAGATTGCATGTTTAAAGGACCATTTAAAAAGCGCTCTACTGGGACACCTGAGTGGCTCAGTCGTTAAGTGTCTGCCTTCGGCTCAGGTCATGATCCCAGGGTCCTGGGATCCAGCCCCGCATCAGGCTTCCTGCTCAGCGGGAAGCCTGCTTCTCCCTCTCCCGCTCCCCCTGCTTGTGTTCCCTCTCTCGCTGTGTCTCTCTCTGTCAAGTAAATAAATAAAATATTTTTTAAAAAGTGCTCTATTTTTGTTTCTGAAATGGCATTAATGCAATGTGAGGGGGGAAAAGTCTTTCATAGAATGGACATTTTAGAGTAATTATTTAAATTATAATTTAATATCTAAATGTTTTTAGATCAAGGTGTGCAATGCTTAGGAATTTTAAAAATCTCTAATCTTAATAATTAAATGGTAACAGTGTTGATTTATCCGTTCTTCATTAAGTTATATTTGGAGCATGTGTACACACCAAATTTAGGAAGAGTCAGATGGATATTTACTGATTAAATAAGGATAACCAAAATCAGAGAATCTGATTCATATGTAATGGCTTAATGATTTGATGACAATTATTGTTTTGCCACAGGGTAGCTAGTCATAACAGGAGGATACACACACATAACCCGTAATAAGTCCATTTCAACACAAACCAAATCATCAGGTTTCTTCTCTTGACTTTGTTAATTTTCTTGTGTCATATTGCCATTTTTTCTTAATACCACACAATGTTTCATTTTTGTTTCTTTATCCATGCTTATCTTGACACACTTATAAAGTTAAATGTCTATATTTTGAAAGATCCCCATGGCCAGAGTTCTCTGGTTCCCAAGCCTTGAAGCTTCACAAGTGAAATACCGTGAGAATTCGTGAGCTTCTCTTCCTTTCTGTCCTTCCTGGCAGAAGGAGGAAGTGCTGGAAACCTGGAGGCAGAAGAAACACCTGAGCCAAGAGGCTGTGAATGGACTTTGGGAACCTCAGATGTTAAAGGGGAAGTGACAGGGCCCTGGGACGTGGTCACTGGTTCCATGACATTTGAGGGTAAGAAGAGAAGACTGGAAAGAAGAGGGGTTAAGCTCAAGGGAGATTTAGGTCAGGAATATGGGTGGGGAACTCTGTTGTTCTTCCTGGCCTCGCTCTCTTGGGGGTCAGCCTTGTGCACAGTAAAATCTCATGGGCTTGGAGCTGATTCTCTCTCTCATCTGCTAACTACATCAGAAAGTCCTTTTATATAACAGTCAGTCTTTCATCCCACCAGTAAAATAAGGGATTTAAAAATAGAAATAGTTGAGATAGTTAGACTGGCCTACGTCTATTACAGTCAACCTATACATGAGGATCCCAGAAATAGCCTCCTTTTGATGAGAGGAACCAGCTACCAACCAGGCACAGGTGGAAAGCGGGACTGGGTTACGGGCCACTCTCGGGAAGCAAAAGGGAACAGAAAGGGGAGGCCTGGAAAATGCTTCAGAACGTGAGGGTGCTTTAGAGTACAAAGGGCTGGCAGTGGCCCTGTGAGGCAAAGGAGGCACCACCCCAGTTGACACAGGAAAATATAGAGGCTTAAAGTGGCTCAGCACCTTGCCAGTCATCACGGCAGTGGTAGCTAGTCAGGCCGCAAGGAGCTCAAACCCGGCATCTGCTTCTAAATCTCATCCAGCTGTCATTTTGCGGCTTCTCCCTCTTCTTGGACTTTATGATTATTGGTCAGACCTCATTTGCAAGAGACTGTATCACCAAGCTCCAACAGTGCACTGAAAATTACACTACTGTATTCAACTATTAAATTATTCAAGAAAGAAGGTATAATTTTTAAGTTATTTTCTCACGGAATTTAGCAATACATAGAAAGTCACCTTACAGGGGTGCCTGAGTGACTCAGTTGGTAAAGCACCCGACTTTTGGTTTCGGCTCAGGTCATGACTCATGGGTCCTGAGATGGAGCTCCCATTGGGCTCCTCAGTCAATGGGAAGTCTGCTTGAGATTCTCTCCCTCTGCCCCTCTCCCCCACCTCTCTCTCTAAAATAAACAAACAAGTCTAAAACAAAAAAAGTCATATTACATTGACTGCATTGGGAGGAAGAACATTTATTTCTGTACAGGTTTTTTTCTTAAATCCACTTTTATGATCTAGAAGGATGATTTACTAATTTTTCAAAACTGTGTTTCCATGCATGTTATATTTTTATGAAAGAATGATTTGTTTCCTTCTTTTTATCATTCCAAGAATAAAAAATTATTTGACCTTTGTTCAAAATAATTTTCTCTTCTGATTAAGCTATGAATGGTACTAATTATGAAGACCTTGTTATAATTAGTGCCCACTGACTAAAGCAGAATTCTCAGAAAGTTCAGAATTGAACAGGGCAAGATGTCATTTGAGATATTTTTTCTCCTCTGGTTGTTCACACAATTTGAATTCAATGTTGCCATCACTGAATGCTTCTCCTTTGGTCTCTTCCACAGGATTCTCTCTCCGGGAAAACACTGCTTTCTTCTGCATCATTGTAATTCCTGAATTTCCATGCCTTCGAGCTGTAGATAAGGTTTCTTTTACTATGCAATAACAAACTGCAGATAAAAAATTTTTTTTGAAGTTTTCATTCAGAAATGCATAAACAATGGGATTACAGATGGAATTGGAAAATCCAATTATTTGCACTATAGCAAAAATCATCTTGACTGTGACATCATCATATTCCTTTTCAAAATTGCCTGAAATAAAAAGTAATAGTGTAGAATGCATTATGTTCTAATGAGCAGAAAGTAAAATTTCTGTTTATCATCTGTCTTTACCGAACACTTTAACAAGTGGCTAGAGGTGTGAAAAAGTGTCAAGACAATTTTGGGAAGAGCCATGTGATTTCTGAAGAAAAATAAGCTCTGTGACGCGTCCTCATTCTTAGAGAGTCTTGGCTCGCAAGCACAACCTGGCACTCAGCACATATTAGAGAGCTTACGGCATTGCCACTGGATTCCAAGCTTCATGTAAACTGGAAGCAGCAGTTACCGTTCAAATGTTTGCTTGTGTTATGGAAACACAATCACCTGAGAATTATGTTAAGTCTCGGATTATCAGAGGTGACACACTGACAATCTGGCTGAAACCCTAGGTGTTATTAAATACATGTGGTTCAAGTCAGTATTCTAAAATCTAAACAGAGAACACTCGGAGGATGTTACACTTCTCCCAGTGTTTGAATGGCTTAGGGAGAATGGGAAGCATGGCATGAAAGAAGACTCAAAAACGTTTCTGTATCTTCTGTAATTATTAAAGATTTGGTCAAAGTCATACATAATTACCTACCATGTAACGATCTGGTGGTCTTGAAAACATGAAAGAATCCCATTAAGTGTTTGATATTTGATTCCCCAAGGGAATAGCAACAACTTTCAATGATTCATTGTCCATTCTAGCAGGAAATGAACTAGAACGTCTATCAAGTGAGAATGAAAAGCACTCACTGTATTCAGTCATCATGTGAACAATGTGGAAAGGTGCCCAGCACACAGCAAAGAGAGCCACCACCATCACCATCATAATGACAGCTCGCTTCTTCTTCCTGGACCCATAAGGATACATTGTATGAGTTAACTTCTTGGCAAATTTGTCACATTGATATCAAAGTTATTAAATCAAGCTTGAGCCTAAAGCTCTCAACCATAATTTTTCAAATATTAAAAAAGCTCATGACAGGTTAATTGTGGACTGTTTCTCATCTTTTCCCATCGCTTTTACCCTCATCCCTATATTTCTGAGATTATAAACATCCTTATGATGTATGCTCAAGACGGGTCTAGCACTCTGCTAGGTGCTTGGCATGGATAACATCATTCATCTTCTCAGTAAGCCATTTGATGGATGCAGAAACTGAGGCACAGAGAAGGTTACGTCACTTGCAAAGTCAGATGACCAGTAAGCATTTAACTGTAAGAGCTAGTGTGGACTTAAAGTTAGGCAGCTTAACTTCAGTGCTTAAGCTCTTATTCACTTTATATTGAAGAGCACTCTTCTGAAGAAGTGGGAGAGCTAAATCAGCAATTAGTCCCAAGGTGCTCAATAGTCCAGGGCTCTGCACTGACAGGGAGGATTGCTTCATACAAACTGCGTCACTAGAGGTCGCTGCACACTTGAAGAAATAAGAAAATTTCATCAAACCACAAAACTCTTTATAAGGTTTTTGTTTTTGCGTTTGTAATAGCCATTCCATGTAGATTACAACATAAACCATATGGACTACAAGTACCATATCAGTAAATTGTGTTTTAAAATTTATATTAATGAATGTGATCAGAAAAGAAAGCCCTTATTATTATACTAATAATAATTTAAAGTAAATAGCATATACTCTGGTCACCAAAGGACTTTCATACATATCTCATGTATTTTAGCATCACTTTTGGGTAGGAGGAAGTGAGAATGGATATTTATTAAGCTCCCTGGTACACAGGAGGAAAGCCGGAGGCTTAGGAGTAAGGATGCTCATCCACACCATGTGGCTGGTGAGTGGCGTGGAAGACCACACCACAGCTCTTCCCACCATGTCATACTGACATGGAGATGAAAATGTAACTATTTTCTAAATTCCTACCATACCTAAAATCTCCAAACTTTAAAGTCAGCCCATGCCCTAACATGAATTAGAAATGGCACTTGGGCAAAATTTCCCAGGAATTCAGAAAGCTCTGGCAACAGCTCCTTCAAGCACGACTAATTAAAAGTATTTTAAACAGAGGTGAATATTTCATTAAACAGACCTGGTTATTTTTGACATTTCTTTTCCATGAATAGTTCGAAGCACTGAGCAATCGCCCACTGTTTTCTTTATCCAAAGTTCATAGCCGATTTTACTGTACAGGATAAGCATCAGCATAAGAGGCAGGAGGAAGAGGATGACAAGGATGAAGGTGGTATAGATTTTCTGGTGTGCAGGGCTGGCCCACTCTTCCAGACAGCAGACATGTTCTTTTTCATATAAGAAGTCATACTTAACCTTTAACATAAGAACAATTCAATTAGAAGAACCAGAGTCAGCATCAAAAGAACAGAAAGCAGCCAAGTACTATTCTAATGCTGCATTTTTCAGATCCTTACATATTTACTGTGGGTACATATTGCAAATGAGATACATTTTTATTGTTCTTTTGTTGTGCAGTGTCATTTTTCTACTTCATTCCTTATGTTCTTAATGGTTTTATACTTTCTTTTCTATTTTAAATGGAATTGAGGTCAATAGCTGGTTTATTTATTTATTTATTTATTTATTTTTAAAAGATTTTATTTATTTGACAGAGAGAGAGATAGCGAGAGAGGGAACACAAGCAGGGGGAGTGGAAGAGGGAGAAGCAGGCTTCCCACTGAGCAGGGAGCCCGATGGAGGGCTGATCGCAGCACCCTGGGATCATGAGCTGAGCCGAAGGCAGACGCTTAACGACTGAGCCACCCAGGCACCCGCTGGTTTATTTTTTTAATCTTTTAGCACTTTTTACCTGATAGTCATAATTTTTGAATTCTGTGAAAGAAAGCTATACTCTTTGACCAGAGTATGTATGTACACCATCCAGATGAAGAACCTTGCTTTCCAGATGAAGAATACACTACAATAACCAAAGTATGTATGAAAAAAGTATTTTGTATTTGTATGCCAGCTAGTTCAATGTTACATTATTTTGCTTCCTCAATTGTTGAAGAGACAAATTTTGGCAAGGCATCAGATGTCTCTCAATTGATAGTACTGAAAGCTTGTCTTTTGTTACTGCTATTTCAGACTGGAATGATCAGGTTGCTTGCAAAGATTTTAGAAAGGTAAAGGAGAGCTTTAAGATTCTGAGATGAATAAGAAATTGGGATTCAAACTACTGTCAATCTACAAATATTCAGACTCAGCTATAAGCCTCTGAGGTAGATATTTTATGGAAAGGCAATGTCTCTTTATTAATACTATTTCTGAGAGACTCATGAGTTCAAAATATTGTTAATAACAATATTAATAATAATAGCGAATGCTAATAAGGGACAAACTAAGCAAAGCATATTCAAGAGTCATTTATCTGGATAATAAGAACAAAAGAGAATTTAGCAAAACTACTGCCATTGTATTCTCTTAAGAGCTTTCCAGATGAAGAATACCTAGGTCTTAGACGTATTTCTGCCTTCATTCCTGCAAATTTTATCACCAATCTTTAGTCAGTTGAATTGGGGAAAAAGCTTCCTCGTATACTCATCAAAGGTAAAAAAATTCAAGCTCTGATTGAGGTGTTATTTACAAATAAATGAGGAATGAAAACACTTATTGGATAATAATTTCAAGATCCAAACTCCCTGGGAACCAGAAATAAAGTGAACCGGATATAAAGTGAAAGTGATTCCATGTAGGCAAAGCCCACAAAGGTCAACAGCCATGGGGTCAACACATTGGTATATCTTAAGACACAAAGCTACCCCAGCAGTCTCCAAATAGGTGCATGTTGCCCTGGGGAGACTTTCTCAGGGCACGGGCAGATGGCTTTAAAGGAGCCAATTTCAGATCTTCGTACAGTTCTCTAAAATTCCAGTGCCTCGGGGTGCCTTGGTGGCCCAGTCAGTTAAGTGGCCGTCTCTTGATTTCAGCTCAGGTCATGATCTCAGGGTCCTGGGATCGAGCCCTGTGTCAGGCTCTGTGCCCAGTGGGGAGCCTGCTTGGGATTCTCTCTCTCCCTCTGCCTCTGCCCCTTCCCCCTGCTCGTGCTCTCTCTCTAGCTCTAACTCTCTCTAAAATAAATAAATAAAATCTTTAAAATTCCACTGCCTAGGAGAAGCCTGAGACTGAGTGTTGTGCTGGCTCTACGTTCCCAGTTCCTCGTTTCTAATCCCTCTTCTTCCCAGCTATGTAAGCCAGATCTCTTACCCAGCCCCAGTCTTAACTAGGAGGCACTGAAAAAGGAGGTGGTTTGAATTACTGATGTCAGTGAAGCCACCATGATCAAGAAACCATAAATACATGACAGGGCTTTGTGCTTCTCCCTATATTAAACATATTTCTATTCAGGGTAAAGCTTGGCATTAGAAAAAAGGTGCTTTGACAGGTGTTGAGATGTCGTAAATTTACATTTTTCATACAGCGAAGGGGCAGAAGTGATGACAATTTTAATTTAACCACCTCATAGCTTCCATCCCCTGAAAATTGTCAAACACATCACTCCTGAGAGAGAGCCCAGTGAGAGCAAAGCAAAGAGAACTTCAGTGGATGGAAATGGTGAAGTTGGTGGTGCTTTGTTTCACCCAGGTGAGAAATTCAGGCTTTGTGCATGCTCACACACATTCTCTCTAGTAGAATTTTAAAAGTGAGAAGGAGGCCATGAGGATGCATATTAATACATTTATCTGGTATGAAAAATGAAATCACACTTCTTCCTGACAGAAAGCAAATCTGATTCGGCTGATTTGTCTGACACAGAGGACTGGCTTTGCCAATTACATATGCATTTTCTACAAACTAAATGAGTTACATATTTAAACTATATTTAGAGCATATGATAAAATAATTTTATTTGAAGAAATAGACAAATCCCCTTGTGGCTAGGGGCCAGGAATGGACCCCACAAACGAGTGCCGGGTTAGGTCACCTATGAGAGGACTCCCTTGGTACAGGATTCCTGCTGGGGTAAGGACGGCCTTGGAGAAAAGAGCTGGTCACAAAAAGTTGTATGTGGAAGCTAAAGGGTCTCGATGAGCAGCCTGCTGGAGAAGGGAATAGCAGTCGGAAGCCTCAGTGATGTTATCTTTGAAAAACCCACAAGCAAAGAGTGGAGGATGGGCAACAGTCGCGTGGAGAGGGCGTCACTACCAGAGTACAGCTGTCCCCTCCTCTCCTCACCCTTCTAACCAGCTTCCAAGGACCCAGAGGCAGTCAATTGAATGGGAAGAGAGAAATGCACAGTAAGGAAGGGGAGGAGAGGGGGATCATGCCCCTTTTCCATATTGTAGGGTTCTAGACCTAAAAATAGCTTAAGCTGAGGGAAGGGGTTGTTTTGCATTGATTGAGAGTAGGGATTTATGTGATTGTGACACTGGGCTGGGCATTTAACCACAGACTTAACACTGCTGTTGTGACTGAAAGTGACCAGAGGAATGTTGCTCTCTGAATGGTTGAAAGAGTAACAGGGCCTGCTCAGGGCTTCATCCACGACATTGCATCAGAGTACTGGGAGATCCTCAGATCACATTTCTGTAGGTAGCAAGGGACAGAATAAGATTACCTCCTGCTCTCACCTATGGAGTCTAGCTCATTCAATATACCGGTTACATAAAAAATCAAGTCATGTTTTCAATGTACCCTTGCCTGAGGGCTCATTTGTTATCCTTCCAATGGACATTGCAAATCCAATAAAGTTTCACACTTGCTTCCATCAATTTAAAAAGGTATAAAAAGAACACATGGTTTAAAAAATTATCTTAGTGTGTATGTGAACAACTCCCTACTGCCTTTGAAGACTACGTCTGGGCTAGATCACCTATGCAGGACATGTTGAAGCATGTATGCCCCACTGGGGAGACTGGGTCACCAAAAACAGCACCGTGCTCCCTCCACTGTGAATCCCCATGCAATGCTGGGCCCATCCAATAGAGGTGTGAGGGAAAGAGAGAGGTCAGATAAGATGATCTTGCCACACTTTCCAATTCAAATTTCAATTTGTCAATGTATGGGAGATAGATAAGAAAGGACTTGTGAAGGAGAATCAACTAATAAGCAGATAACTGATGATAATTTTTTAATGTGACTTAAAAATAAAAGTCTAGAGCAACCACTGAACTCTTCAAATGTAACAAGACAAAGTAGAAAGTGACCCTGGTAAATTTTCTTTTAAGCATTAAAGGCTTCACAATATAAAATCAAGGGAGAGCTAGATAAACAGAGGGGAGAAAAAATCTTAAAACAAATTATTTTATTCCACTTGAAAAATTTTCAGTGAAATAATTGGGATCATACAAATTTGCAGGAAGAAATCAGATTATCATTGAGAGGGCTGGGAAACATTTCAATAATATGACTACCAATCCCAGTCCCGACCTACCTCAAGGCGTTGCACATGCCACATGGGTGATCCAACGATGACTGCCACCAGCCAAACCACACCTGCCAAAACATCAAAATCATCAGAACATGGCTCCATCAGTGAAGCAAAACACATGCATGCTTATGCATAAAGCACATGCGCTGATCATAAAGACTCCTTATATGCAATCATCCCTGCCCTCAAGCAGTGCAGGGGTCTACCTGTTCTCACGGCCACTCTTTCACCATCTTCAAAATTGCTGCTGGAATAGTCTTCCTGAAACATTTTTAAATGTTTGATTAAAACTCCTTAAAACAATAAACAATAAAACTCCTGAATAGTGTTTTGGTGACTATAAGATAAAACCCAAACCCTTAACATGGTTCCTGAGGTTCTCTCACTTGCCCCTCTCTCCTCTTACATTTCTGTCCTTGTTCTTTAAACCAGAGTCCTCTACTGAGGAACTTAAATAGTTGCTTTCAGTCCCTATATCCCAGAATGCATTGAGCTGTTCTGTGCCCCGACACTGTCACCCTGGACTGGCACTTTATTCCCACTATCTGTGAACTCATTTTCCAGGACTTGACTCAAATGTCACTTCCTCTAGGAAATCTTTGAAGGCCACCATCATTTCCAGATAGAACTGACTGCTAGTTCCCTGTTGTCTCCATGTGCCCTCTAGTCATTTGCTGCCCTTAGTCATTTCTTTTCAACATCCTCTAAGCTCATTGAGGGCAAAGACAATGCAATTTACTTTTTTGTTTGTTTCCCCAAACAAGAGTCCAAGGAAAATTCCTGGCCCTCAGTAGACTTTGATCACGCACCTGCTGTTTGGTTCTCAAACGGATGAATAACTTAAACATGATATAGATCACCATCTACAGTTTCTTCTTACAACTCAGTACCATTTATATTGAGCCTCATAACATGAGGCTTTACAAAAACCAACACTTAAAACATCAGAAACCAGAGTGCTCTTTCCAAATTCCCCGTCCTCCATGTTTGGTGAGGGAATTGCTTTAATGATGTGTCCTTAGCCAGAAACAAAAGAGAATCTGAACAGACTAGGATGAGGCCAGAACCAAGAGACCCAACATCAATTCTGAGAGCAATTTCTTGGCTCAAATTCTTCCTGTTCTTTCTATATTGAGTAGCACCATTGAGAAAACAGTATATTGCCTTGGGTTTCAAGAAACTGAGACTCACTTAAACTGTCACTGGGGTTTATTTTTTTATTATTATTTTTTTAATTCTTATGTTAATCCCCATACATTACATCATTAGTTTTAGATGAAGTGGTCCATGATTCATTGTTTGTGCATAACACCCAGTGCTCCATGCAGAATGTGCCCTCCTCAATACCCACCACCAGGCTAACC